CTATTTGTGTTACTGATGACATCTCAGCAAGAGACCGTGTGACAGATGCAACTGTTCCTGTATCTGGGAAAAAAGATTTGATTTGGGAATTATTCAAAATGCTTTGACTGTGATTCACAGTTTTATTGGAGGATAAAAGCGGCTGCTCCTCCACACTGAAAACAGAATACTTGATGTTTTGGTGAATTATCTCTTTGTTCAGTATTTCTTCTTGTTCTCCAGCAGACTGTTGATGTAAACTGGGTAATGAGGCTATAAATTGATTTGGATCTGAAGCAAGCCCCTCTGTACGAAGAGAGTCTGAGGAAGCATCAGGTGACAGTGCAGGCAGAGCCACAGATTTCTCAGTGGACGCTCTTCGATCTTTCAGGCAGGTCAAACACAAGTTTGTCACAGCGTTTCCACTCACTGAATCATCTGCTGTATCATTTTGGAAGATGGAGTGCATCGTACCCAACGGATACTCATTTCTTCCCAGGTTTGAAATCCCCTTTTCATCCTTGCCTTCGGATCGTTTGTCATCATTGTCATTACGCAGCGCGGCCAGGTTATCAATTACACGAGGACGGGATGCAGATAGGATTGGAACTCCCGGCCCCGAGTCAGCAGATGTGAGAGCAACAGAGTCAGTGTTTCTCCGAATCCTGTTGTCAAGCAGAGTGTGAAGCCAAAGAAAGGGCTTCACTGCATCTGTGGACAAATGGACCTCTGGCTCAGAGGTGCCATTCAACGTTGATTCAAATGCAGCTTGTGTAGAAGAGAAAACGCTCTTCTCATAATTAGAGATCAGTGGGACTTCATATTCAGTGTGAATTCTCATAGCTGATGGATTGTCTCTCGTTGGTGTGAGAGAGTTTTGCCCATTTCTGGAAACAAAACGCTCCCCGCTCGGTGAGGCAATTATAGCTGATGCTTCCGTGATTTGTATTCTCTCATAAGGTGCCGTTGGTCTGGCGTCAAACAAGACCACCCCTGGAAACTTGGCAGCCACTGCCACTGCAGTGTGTCGATGTGTATTCTCCGTAGTTGTTGCTTCTGTGCCATGACCAATTGTGTTTTCTTTTTTCAAAAGCAGATCTTTTATGACAGTTGTGCCTTTTGTTTGTTCTGTGTGGTGACCTTGGAAATGTTTTTCTGCCCTGACTGCAAAGAGAAAAGAAAACATGTCACTCAAATTTCTTCCACAAAGGCTGTCCTTCCTAAAAACTGTCATGTAGAAGAATACTCGATTGAGACAAATTAGTTTCATTAATGCTATATTGTCTTATATTACATTTGAGGAGCTCATTAAATGCACAAGTTCATGTTACTCTTAAAACTACAGTCTGATTGTGATGAGATGTGTATTTCTAACACGGTTTTCATGATTGAAGGGAGCACTCTGCCCCCCGCTTAATTTGTGCTTATCTCCCACAGTGATTGTGGACATTTGTGGAGTGTTAAGTGACAAATTTGGATGATTACTCATGAAGCAATAAATTATAGATGTCTACGTCTGCATCTAGAATTACAGCTACAGTACAATAAGTAGAGTCAACTGGAGACCATACAGAGGATTTACATTACAATTAAAATAGTGCAATCAATAGTGGTTATAGGGTATCTGTGAAAACTTTCAGTCTTCCCACTGATAGTCTTATCATCATGATTAAGAGTTGCTGTTAAGAAATGTCTTGATGAGGACACATCCAGTGTCCGTGCAGTGACAATGGAGGAGATATGATGTACATTTCTGCTGTGAGCAGAAAACAACAATGGCATTTTAAGGTGCATTTATGCTTCTCTGCCTGCATGTTCTAGTGATCCCTTTGTAGCTACCTGCAGCACTGGAATTGATTTATGGTTCAGCATAGGATTTTACCTGCCAATTGGTATAGTAGCACCGCCAACACTAATTGAGCATGTCGCACATAATCAGACAGTATTGTTCAGCAGCATCCCAAAACAGTCATGTTTACATTCTTAAATTAACAGTAATGCAGTGATGATATAATGATACATTTTTTGTGCAAGGTTACAAAATATAAATTTGTCTTTGCATTGGAACCTGAAAAAACACAATTAATAAACCCCAGCTCACTGGTCACAATTCTCTTTGCCTCCACAATGTGATATGAAAGAACTAATAATAAGTCAGGAGATTTCAAGCACATTTCACATGGACACTGTCAGTGAAAGAAATAAAAAAAAAAAAAAAAAAAAAAAAAGGGGAAAAATCTGATTTAACAATGTAGTATTTTCATAAACATAAGAAAAATATACATATTTTTGCAAATGTTAGCAAGGATTTTGCAAATGTTTCCTGCAGTAAGAAATGTATTTGACACTTTGTTGAATGCCAGCAAAACTGATGGTTTACATTCAAGACTCCACAGGGTGGCCTTAATAGTCTGAACCCTGTTGTGATACAAAACAAGAAAAAAAGGTAATGATGTTGACACGCTTCAGTGTGTGTGACTGATGCCTGAGATATAGAGTTAGATGTTTTCACTGTCATTTGTAACATTAATAGTAGGCAGTTTTCTAATTAAATGGAGTTATGTAGCATATCTCAGGTTTCATCCAGCCAGTTATCAATTTAGATGATGAACTAGGAGGAGTCTCGGTTTAAGGCGTCTAATCATCTTAACACTGCTGTATGTAGTAAAAATAATAATTTATCATTCTTTATACATATTCTGATAGGACAACGTACTGCTGTAGCAGACTTACTGATATACTTATGAAATATTTCACTCAATGTAAAAGTTGTTTGATGTTGTAGAAAATATACATTTTTAAATGAATTATAATAAATTATTTTCATGTCTTACTTGAGAGTGAAAATGACAATTTAAAGCTGTCCAGCTGCTATTTGCTAATGTAATGTGTAAACAGCAGGTAAAATGTTTTTTTGCAAATTAAAAAATGAATGCACCTATATATTCAGTTTAAAACAAATATTATAATAGAAGGAACTACTCTACTGTGACTTGAAAATGAACACAAAACAGTGAGAACATACCTGTAAGCAGGAAAAATCCCAGTGTGAAACAATAAAGCCTCCTCATTTCTTTTCAGTCCTGTTTGCATTTACTCTGTGTTCTTCTTGTTGTATAATCCAGCTGAGCAGAAGGTATCAGTTGTTTGCACACGTACACAGATGGTGTCATCCCTTACAGGGAGCTTTTGTCCTCTGCAGTTCATTTATACATGGATTAGATTTCTCACACAGTTCCTTTTAGAGTCACTGCAGGTACTACGCAGTCAACAGGTACAATGTCAAGAATTGTAAAAAAAAAACAAAAAAAAAAAAAAACAAAAATCTACATTTAAATATTTCGTATTGTTCATGAATGTTATAAACTGTATTGAAAATGGAATTGATTAATGCTAGCAACCACACCTTACTTGTAAATCCCTGAAGAAAAATGGAAACTCAGTTCTTCATTTAGTTGATATGTTTTCAGTTCAAGCTAGATCAATTCATGACACAACGACAGATGATGCAGGGCATAAAAATACCGAAATTAGTCTTTAAAATGTTTTTGACTTTAGAGAATAAACTGCAAGATTACAAAGTCTCAAAATTCTCATTAAGATAAAAATAGACCTCAGTGTCCTCAATATTAGCCACAGACTTGAACGTATTAGTTTTGACAAGTTGTTGTTTTGTTTTATTTTTTTTATAAAATTTGACTATTTTTTCACAAAACAAGCAGTAAATGTCCACATTGCCCTTTTCTTCCCTACTTACAAATGAGGTGTAATACCACAGTGGCCTTAATTACATTTTTTTCCCAAATATTATATGATTTCTGATGCCAGGTTTCCACAGCACTATCCATACAATCTAATATAACTCAGGTGAAGTAAATCATTTCTGTTCCACTTTTCTCTCTCAATACAACTCTACCAGGCATCATAGTGTTTGTGCAGCATGTTAACCCAGTTATAAGTTCTCACAGTGGTTAGCTTCAACATTCAAGTATTGAGAGCAGCACTGTGGTGTAGTGGTTAGAGCTGTTGTTAAGAAAGGTCACACATTAAATTCCGGGGGCCAGCCCTTTCTGTGAGTTTACAAGTAATCCTCATATTTCAAAGACGTGCAGATCTGGTGGACTCCAAACTCAGTCTCCCTGTAAATGGTCTTTACAATGCAAATCTGTTTATTTTGATGTGATTTGTTGTTCCAGTACTGCCATCCTGAGAATCCAAACACAGATGAAAATGTAGTTTTTATACCCAGGGCTCAGCTGCACCTTTCTGGGAATGAAATCAAAAAACAAACAAACCAACCGCACATCTAAAGAACCAAAAAAATAGGACAAATATCAAAGGTTGGCACAACATAAAATGACCCTATAGGCCTGACCCTGTACTATTTATTAGTACTAAGGGGTATACCTGTATGTGGCTGCATAATTTGCATTTAACACACTTTGTCATGATAAATAAGAGAAAGACCTTCAATATGAATGATTAAGTGCCAGGTTTCTAGCTCTATGAACAGCCTTAACCACTGGCACACATCAATCCATGTCTCACTTCAAATACCATCAATATGTAATTCTGCTGGATCAGTATCAGTCCAATAGTTACGGTTTGTACTACTGTACAAATGAACTCCTCAGAGTCGGTGGTTATTTGTTTAAGCAGTGTATTCTTATTTTTACAATTTAGGGATACCTAATACCTGCATTAATCTTGTAAAATATTAGTCATATTTTAATCTAAGGTCAGACACACAAAGATGGTAAAACTGACTACACTTGTTTCTACTTCAGTGTGAGTATATTCATAATAATTAACCATATAAATTCACATGGGCATGAAAAACAAGGACAGCCAAGAACATTGCTAATGTGTATGACCTTGTTTATGTAGATTAAGCAATTAGGAGTAGAATTTTATTCAAATGAAATAAATCTTTAATTATTCTTGAGACAGGCTTAGTTTTCGTCAAAAAAAAAAAAAAAAGAATTCAGATGATATGACGACAAGGAATATGTTGGGTTTTTTTTGTCTAAATAGAATATAGAAGAGAACAAGACTGATGACAAGCATGATTGTAAAACATGTTATCAGGAGTTCATGTGATGAGCTTCATACAGGAGTGCAGGATCTCAAGGCCGTGTAATTCTCGAAGTTTGTTCAAATGTCTGGAAATGAAGACAAAAGACAAACACGGTGAAAGAGTGTTCAGTGGGTTTGCATTCAATTGAAACCAGGCTTTTCTGAATTTGTGAGCTTTGGAACTAAAGATCAGCACATCCTCCACACAGTCACAGAAGAGGTCTGTAGCCTGGAGCTAAAGAGGAAGAAAAAGACTGTTGCTGCTGTCTTCCATTATTTAGGATACTAAAACACAACAATTATGCTCACATAATCAGAGCGATACCACAGTACAGGATATGAAAGTTGGCCTACAGCAGCAAAACATCATTGTTCAGCTAGAATGTGATTAGATTGTATTTAACTCAACTTGGAGAGTAGAAATAAAAATGTGTTCACACATATGGAAATTGGAAATTGAAAATTATACCTTTTGTATTTTTTCACAATTTTATGAAAATATCCAAAAACTAAAAGATTGGTATCGAGAAACTAGTTGGCAGATAGATAATAGATATTGGGGGAAAAAAATCATTGGTTGTAGCCCAAAAATATATCTAAGCTGGCAGCAATGTTGATGGACTAAATTAACTAGTTTCATAAGATAAATCGAAACTTAAGACCAATTTTATGAAGTCAATATTGTCTCTCTCTCCCTTTTTCTTTCTTTCCGTCTTCCAAGACTTCCTTGACATGGTTTAGTATTCTGCTGGCTATCAGTCTATCTATCATGATTAAGCAGTAAACCAACAGCAAATATTAAGAAAGAGTGGTAAGGTTATAGCTGTCACTGTGTATTAGCACAGTCAGCCAATAATGGCATGCACAGAATGACTGTTGGGCCTCAGGCCGTTCAAATGGTGGAGACCACATGTTCTTTTTTATAGAGAAAAGACGTCCATTTCAATTCAGTCCTCCAGAATCCTTCACCTTTCACACCTGGGTGTACAACCCACCATGGGCTGTAACAACCAGCTTTTATTGGTCACTGTGTGACATGCGACGCAGGGTGTCACCAGACCAACTAAACCAGCGGTGCCCCTTTGTTCTCTCTCTTTCTGGCTCTTTCACCCAGCTGCGGGAGCACACCCTCTCTCTGGCCCAACTCTCTGTGGGAGCAACATGGCTCTCAGCACCACATTAGCACTGTTAATACCCGGAACCTCTTGTCTGCAGGTCTGCTCACAGCAGACAGCTGACCTGCACTCTTCCTTAACGGCAGCGTCACAAGTGCCTGTTTAAGACTAGTCAGGAGTGAACAAGTTTGATTTAGCACCAGCGGCCACGACACAGAGTCTGTCAGCTGATTTCTACAAACAACAGGAACCACAAAATAGAGTTAGCATCAAGCAGCTAACTTTGTAAGGAACAAAGGAGCAACCAGGGACTTCCTCACAGACACAGATGCCACACAGCCAGACAGGCCTAGACAGTACTGCTAAGTACAGAACAAAGAAACACACACTCTCCCTACCCTACATGGACCAGCATCTTGTGTAGTTTCTTTTGTTTAGGCCATGTGGTCCCAGCAGCCATTTTGAACCAGCCATTTTGCCCTTGTCTGTTTCATCACAGGCACACACACATGCACACACACACACCTGTATATAGTACAGCTCACTAGATCAGATATTGTATGTTTTACTTGTCTGATATTGTAAATAAATGCGTATGAGTATACCTGCTATTCTAATTATCGTTGCATAAGATTGAATGTTGCCACCGTCTACTCTGCACAACTGCAAATCCTACTAGTTATTCAGTTCATTACTTAGAGATCCAAATTAACAGTATATTTTGAGACTGTGTCAATGTTGACTGTCCTTCCTTGCAAAAGGTGGTTCCCGGAGGATAGCTTTAATATTATTATTAATTGATAACCTACCAATGCCCAACAACTGTGTAGCCTACATGTGTATGTATGTATGTGCGTGCGTGTGTGTGTGTGTGTGTGTGTGTGTGTGTGTGTGTGTGTGTGTGTGTGTGTGTGTGTGTGTGTGTGTGCGCACAAACAATAACAAGCTAACAATATGATAAACAATGTGTGAATACTGGAAATAACAAAATAACAAATAAATATTTGAATATTTCAGGCCAGCCTGGGCTAAAAAAAAATAATTTGGCTTCTTTAACCGGAGCCGTAACATCACATCAGCTCACTGTCAGTGTGGCATTTCGTCAGGTCTATCAATGCTCCTTGAGGCTAGTTTCTAGAATGTAATCAACAGCATGTGGTTTGTAGAGCGAGAGGGTACCTGGGCTCAGATCGACACAGCTTCCCCAGAGCAATCGCTGCATTTTGCTGCACAGCTGTCTTCTTTGCATCCCCTGCAGCATTGCGCAGCAGCCGTAGCACAATATCAGTGCCCAGCAGGTTGCTGGCAATTCCCTCCAACTCAAGGCAGTGGGCCAAGCAAAGGGCTGCATTTCCTGACACCATCTCATCACAGCTGGAATCCAGCAAATGACGTAAGATAGACAGTTCTGTGTTGAACAATAAATGAATAACAAATTAGAAGAGAATAGCAGAGTTAAATATATTAAACACACATGCACTGACATGCACTCTGTCACTGCACTCACACATGTGCACATGAATGTAGACACACACACACTTGGATTTGCATATTAGGTCAACCCCTAAAATATTATTCATGGACTAATGAAAGAGCTTGTTAAAGTACTGCTAACATGTCAATCATTTCTCACTTTTATCAGACTTCACCAGCTCCTCCCGTGCCAAATGACTGGCAGCAGTGCACACTGTCAGCGTCTTAATGGCATACTTGGTGGCAGTTGGCCCGCTTTTCTGGGTAGACAGACACATAAAATGGCATAGAAAAAGTAGAAAGTATGTTTGTAAACTCTAACTTTACACGCAGAGATCACACAAGGTATGAAGAAAAACTGACCTGTAATGGAATTATATCAGAAGTGTAAATGCGCAGTTACTTAAAATATAATCACATTCAGAAACATTAATGAGTATACAAATAAAAGTAGTCATATTTGTTGTTTGTAGATCATGATGATAGTGAATGTACTATGGGCTATGAAAGGCTATGAGCCAGGCAGTCAGAAAATCTGGTTTTGATTCTTTCTTTTTTGTTGTTGTTTATTTTTAGATTTTGTTAAAACGTAGCTTGTGAATACATTGCTGATCAGCAATCACTGCTATGTGTCAATGCAATGCTGGGGATGCAAGTGGCAGATATCTGGAGCTTCACAATAGCACATAAATGCACCACACAGTTATAGTGCGTTTATATCCAGTAGTTTTAATGTGGTACAGTGATGTGGTTACTGGAAATCCACATATACTTGCAACTGGTCAAAAATCAGGTTTCTCTTCTATCCCCAACCTGATTTTTCCCCCATGGTTTTCTTATTGCCTCTGCCAAGGAGGGACGGAAATGAAATATTTATGGTGTTGACATCAATAAGTTTGTACAATTTGGTGCAGATCCAGATAATAATCCAGATCTAGTGGAAGGAAACACCATCAGTATTTAGGAATGTTTACATCACTGTCATTCAATATTCAACTATTAAAATCACACAATAATAAAACCATGCAGCTGTCTTGCGTAAGGATTAAAAACAATGAATAGATAAAGCTATAATTGAGAACAAAAGACATGTAGGATTGTTTGGCTTTGGTGGAGGTATGTGCTCTACTGAGTGCCATTCTAGTTTTAACTGTATTAGTTGTGCTGTGTCACTCCTGAGGTCCTCACTTTTTGTGTGTGTGTGTGTAACAGCAGACTGACAGCACAGAGAGACGGAACATAGCAATGCCTTACAGTGTAAATGTGTCTTTAACAAGGTCAAGCCAAAAGTTCAGCTGTAGAAAACTGTTTATTTAGACTTCAAGAGGCTACTTTGTGTCAACTTCTCTCCTTTTAATCTGCCTTCTCAGCTGTTACTTTCCCTCTCCGAAGTTGTTGTCATGCACATATGCCCAAGTAAACAGGCGATCTGAAATGCTGGTTAATCATATGCATGGCCGATAAATCAGCCTTCTCCAGGAGATATCTAGCTGGGGAAATCAGGCGCCTCTAATCTCCATCCACAATTACAGAAATCAGGTTTCTTGTTTACATGACGTGTGAGAAATCAGAATCAGAACAATGAATCTGTTTAAAGGTGGTTGGGAAATGGAGCATCATTCCACAAGTAAGATACCAGTAAACTGATGTATTCACAGAAGCTATGTACCTTCAGCAACCGGCACATACTCCGAACCACATCCCCCTGGATAACATGGAGAACAGCCTCAGAGGACTGAGGGAGGACAGTGCTCAGCACACCTGTGACTCTCTAGAGGACAAAGAGGAATGTTGCTATTAGACAAGGAGATAACAGAAGATAAAGAGCAGAACAGCAGAGAAATACACAGAATGCCACAAAATCAAGAGACAACAGCTACAGCATAAAGAAAGCTATCAGTATAAAAGACAAGGAGAATAGGAGAGTGTGGTAGGAAAAAGATGGAGAATAGGAAAATTGAAAACTGTTGTTTCAAGACATGAAATCAGTCATTGCTATTGAGTGTCTGCAGTATGTACAGAGAGTGCATTGTAAAGATGGTGAGAAAATAGTGTGAAAACATGTTTTGAGTGAATATAAAACTATAGTTACCTTTTCAAGGACAGGATGATGAAAAAAAGATGAGAAGTACAAGTATAACAATAGAAGCATACCAATACAAGCATGAAATTTAGAGAAAGGTCACGCATGGGTGCTCGTTTTGTCTTGAATTACACATCATTACATACAGTAATTTGGGGGCATGATTTAGCCATCTGAGGGCACAAAGTAAATTGAGTGTATGAATTACCAAGTAGAGGGAGTGAAATGAGTATACTTAGTACGCAAATTAGTAATTTGAGAAAATTACTCGTAAGTGAAGGCAGAAATTATTAATTCGAGAGAACAATTTTTTTTTTTTAAAAAACACGCATCTATGGGACAGTTAAACTCCCACTTCAACCCATACATTTTTCAGTTGAGTGACACTGCAGTCATGTTCATAGCAGCAGCAGGCAGCCATTTTCACAAAATAGGCTCTGATTAACCCCCTGCATGCTGCCTACTCGGCAACAAAAGGCAGACACACAAAGTTAGTGACTAGCTAGTAAAGAAAACCAAACACCTAGCAGCTAAAGACCCAGATAAAAAATGGATAATGAAGACTTTCATTTATCAGGCAGCCAGAAACACATTGCTCCCTCTCAGCTACATTTTAAAGTGCAATGGTTGGTTAAAATGTTAGCCATAACAATTTAAAGACAATAATACTGTCAGGGTCATCAGGGCCGTCTGTCTATCAGCTTTTTATGGATTTCCTTTGCCCCCTTATGCCTAATTCTGATTAATGCAGCTTAAACATTTAAATTTAAATCTTATCACATTTTATCTCATGGCTGGTGGAAGGTGACCAGAGTGACAGCAAACATATCTGGTTGCTCCTCACACCTTCTCTCATCTTTTTTCTCAACTGAAAAAACAGCACTGCAGTGGATTTTGGCTTTATGACTTTGTTGTAACTATTATAATGCATAAAAGAGAAAAGAAAGTAAGCAAAGTCAAGACATGATAAGACAAGATAAGAAGTACAAAAACGAAGCTGGCATCAGATGAAAAAAGATTCGAAAGTGCCAGCCAGGCAATAAGTGAGCACTAAAACAGAGAAAAGAGACAGATGGGTGGACGTGTGGCACTCTGAGGGCATTGCATAGGCAGTATGAAACTGCTATAACAGCCATTAGCGCAGACAACAGCACCTGGAGCTAGAGCTTTAATCAACTGTAATGGCCCATATATAAGATCCTGTGAACATTGTGGATTGCTGTTACCGCCTTTTGGGGCCCACTGCCAGTGAGCTCACAAGCCCTAGAAAAGACCCATTACTCAAGACAAATGTCTAGCTACCTGAAAGAAAAGGCTTTTGCTTCATAGGATGTACACAAGTTTGGAAAACAAACAAGAACTTTTTAAAAATCTTTAAGGAATATTTGTCAAACTTTACTTAGTCCAACACAGTAATATAGCCAAACATGAAAACCTAATGGGTAAAACAAAGTAACTAAATATGTGATTAAGGTTTCCAAGTCCTACTATATGAATCTTTTTTCAGCCCTCCTGAGTTCTATAGTGTAGTGCTAAAGTTAGCTTCACTCACAGTTATTACTCCTCCGTCACTGTCCCTCAGCAGGCCCAGACAGCAGTCACAGAGTGAAACCGCATGCTCCTACAAAAAGGCAGAGACAGAAAAGTGGCCAAGCCAATTTTCATATATATGTCACCTCTGAATAGGTGACATCACACATCATGGTTCACACAAATGCTCCCATTGCTCCCCTTGTCCATTTACTTTTATTCGGTTTTTAGAATATGACTACAACTATTTTCAATTATTTTTACTAGTGAGGAGAGCATTTTCAATTACAATTTTTCTGCTTAAAAGTTATTTAAACTGGTCTTTCTTTTAAGGTTTAAGGCTTCAACCAGAATGACAGTTCAGCTTGACCTTGCCTAAGAAACATTATCATCATTAGTAATAATTTTATGTATTTATTTTTTTGCAAGAGCACTTGTAATATATGCTAATATACCTAGGCAGGTGTCATCGGACTTACCTGGATGACTGGAGAAGTCATGGTTGAAAGGCTGATGATCAGCCCAAGCATAGAGTAAAGGATCTCTTTGTATTCATATGCACTGCACTGCCTCTGCAATTAAAAGCAACAAATTCAGAGGTGAATAACATGTATTGCACTCTATATGCATGCAAATAGTATAAACAACACCAAAATATTTTCATACCATCCAGGACAGACGTCTCTTGGGTCTAATTGTGACATCAACACTATACTGAAGTGTTTTATCTCTTGTCTGAACATCAATGACTAACTCAAAGAATAAGCAACCTGCACTTTTCTGAACAGTCAGTTAGTAATCTTACTAACAATGGCAACCAGAAAGGCCTTCCAACATTCTGGATCATGAGCAAGTTTGTGACGGATGACGCCGTCTCGAGCCAGACAGCCAATGGCCAATATCAGTGATGGAAGGATATGATGATTGGTCATATTTCTCTGAAAAATAAGAAACAGATGTGTACATTTGCCCAGACACCCACACACACACACACAGCGTATGCAAATATCTACATATCTTACCAGCATTGTTGTAAATGGCACAATGACAGAGTCTGTCAACACATTCCTTAACTGAAAGCAAAATCTGTAAGAAAATATGAAAATATTTCTATTGTACATGTCAGACAAATATACTGTGTATAAAGGTGTATATGTATAAATATTCACAATGGTTAAAGATCTTAAAAATCTTAAAGATTCCACTATGAAACAGTAGTAGCACATACAGAACTTGTTACAAAGAGCACAAATGCTTGGGTGAGGTAGTGAGTGAGGTCAAGTTGAATCTTAAGTTCTTCACAGCTCAGCATGACACAAGTAAGTAAATCAAGAACTCTGTTAACTGAGCGGGTAAAATCTTCAAACAAAATCAGTGGTGTAGTTGATGTCAGTGGTTAAAAAGAATTCATTCTTATGTCTCTGAAGTTTCTAATTCCTCCACTTCACAGGCAATAAAAGACAGATGGATTTGCTGTGTTCTTTGTTTCTACACACCTCAATCCAGCTGCCATTGACTTATGACTAAAAACAATATAGGATATATATATATATATATATACAAACAATATGCCATGTATATTTAGTGTTCGATACATAAATGCATGTGTGAAAATCTGTATACATTCTGTACATGTTTTACCAGGAAGAGATTTGAAAGATTTGGAATTTGGACCAGTTGTCTTAATTTTCACCCTGAAACAAAAATATCCATGAAACACCAACATTGATCCAGTTGAGCTTCTACAACGAAGAGAAAACCTCCGTAGGATATAACACGTTTTTGTTGAGTAACTCTCTTTGAGCTATAGACAGGGAAAATTGATCTCCCCATTTCACTGCTTGACACCTCGACTTATTTCCTGCTGTGTTCGAGAGCCTGGGTTGTCCTTTCATGTTTATTTTCATGAGGCGCTAGAAAGGGAAGCAGTTTTAGAACGGCCTTTTGCCTTCGAGTGACATTAACACTTGGAAAGCACATGCTGATTTATTAAAGACGCCACATTTCCCATTTCTCAGGGGACCTCTCCTCACGTGGGTGGATTTTAAAGTGCTTTTAATATATATGGATATGATTTACAGTATGGGAGGATAATAGACTGTCTTGTGGATCATATTCTGAATTCTGTTGTTGAGTATCTGGAAATATATATTTCCCCGTCCAGATATGAAAACAATCACTTTTTAAGGAGTGAGGAGAATACTGTATTATGTTTGGCTGTGTATCATATCTTTAATACTTGTCTTCTGCTGCAAAGTTCTCCAGAATGTTGACCGCTGTGTTCTCCTGCTGCTGATTTGGCTGTGAGATGCACACCATGAGGTTCCTCACTAACCTTTAAACCCAGATTAAGAGTAGAGTGAGATAAAGACATACAGTAGATAGGGAAATAGAAGAGATAAATACAAAGAAATAGTGAATTAGCCATTTTGCAAAATGACATGTTCTTAATGAATATTATTAAGATTTCAATTAATATTCTGTACGTTTGTACTCGTTCTTCCTAATTTTCTAAAAATTCAATTAGCTGCACCTCAGATATTATCAAACATAACGATAATAAGAATTCATTTGGGCCACTCGGTGTCATTTTAAAAACTCTGTAGCAAGCAAAGCAATTAACATATATAAAAAATGAATGACCATCTGACCTAAAGTCCCTCCAATGATTTTAATATGGGGACAAAATGTAATTTTAAATACCTATTGGGATGGGAGAAGGTAAAAGAAAAAGTATTATAAATAATTAGGTTAATTAGGACATACAGAAATCCAACCATCTCTTACTCTGTCTATGTAATTCCATTCCTGCAGTTATTGCTCTTTTAAGTTGCATGGGATGAAACATAAAGAAATGTCTTACATGTGCACATTCAGGCTGTCAATGGCCAAACGCCTGCTGTGTGGCATCTGTGAGTACATACATAGTAATGCCAGACATTCTTTCCGTACTGCAAAATGCTCTGATGTTACTAAGTCAATAGTGGCTTGTCTGGTGACTGGGCATGTCATCAACATCTTCTGGTTTTCATCTGAAAGCAAAAGAAGACAGGGTATGTACAACAAATGAGTTCACTGGACACAGTGCCAAGTTATATTCCCACGGAACAACAACCTATGCTGCACTGAAGATATGCTTTGTTGCTCATATGGTATTGACATATACATATTGTGAATAGCTGTGTAAACAAATTATCTCAGTTGGCACAAACAGCTTAGTGTCTGAAGCCAAATAGCTCGTGTGATTCAAAGACAAATGAAGGCATGACGAAAGAGAAGGCTTAAGTATCTCACTGACGAGCTGTGTCGTAATAACACAATGCCACAATAGAGGATTAATACCTCCACCAAGAAGGTTATGTTCTCATGTTTTTGATTGTTTGTTTGTTCAAAAAGATTATGAGATAGGACATTTTTCGACACTTTCATCAAATTCTCATGAAAAGATGTATGGATCTCGATGTAAGAAATCTGACAATCTATGAGTCTATAATTTGTTGTAGACATGTCGGATTGTTTTGCCTTAGCACAGGTATGCAATCTACCGAGTCCCGTTCTAGCATAAGTATTTCAGTTATTTAATTATTTTGTGCTAAATCAATGAGAGCCAACTGTTACACAGTCAAAGACAGAAAATGAAATGTGACTCAATGATCTACATACCATTTCCACAGCAAATAACCCTCCATAACTTCAGAACAGACACACATAACTGCTGGCTGTCTGGACCCTTTGTATTCGGCAACAGGCAACTGTGGAGAAAATAAACTTAGTGATCTTAGCTTAGTTCTACTCTAATTGACAAACCATAAATCAAAGTGAATTATTACTGTTACATAATGAAACTCTTTCCTGTTAGAATGTATCTTAGCACAGCACAATATGGAAGTATGGAAACAAAACTGAAACTACAAAAACAGGATATAACACAACAAATGATGATAGGCCATCGGTCACATGTCACCTGGGAAGTCATACTGTATGTTTTCCCACTGAGGTGTTTGCAATTGACACATCGCAACTGTCTCTGTCACAACAAAGCTTGTATGTGCTGCTACATGTTGACAGAAGGTTATAGCCTGATTTCTTATCCGAATATGTTTGAATTGAATTATATAATAGCCATCTCAAAAACACTTTTTATTTCTTTTTATAGACCTGTACTGTAGGTTTATTAGGTGAGGGGCACTATGGATGACTTCTTCTTACTTTGATCAGGACCTGGCAATGACACTGGCCTTCTCTGCTACATGGCTCACATAGATTCTAGTTGGTTCATCTGGCTCACAGCAGTATCCTTATTGGCTATTTTTAATCAAACTCAGACTGCAATTTCTCTGTACCCTCCACCTCCCAGACACAGTGTTGTAACTTGAATAATGACAGTGCTAACAATGGACAGCATGGAAAGTATGTGACAAGTTAATAATAACCTTAGTGATCTGACATGAGGGAGTCATAATTTGCATCTTGTACGAAAACACCCCCTCTTTCTGGGACAAAACACAGAGCCTTTGATCATTTCAGCACTTGTCTCGGTCTCCAGTGTGATCATCTTTTCCTCTTTGGGCTATCACACGAACAACCAGTGAGAGAGAGAGGGGGCGAAGAATGATCTCACTAGTTTAGGCCATCATTGTTTCTGTATGCCCCTGTCTGTGGGTCCATCTGTCAGAGCTCCTCTGAGGGCTGACAGCTACCTCTCCCTCTGGTCTCCTTACCTCCTCACCATGTCATTGCTGCTGATGATACTAAAGCCATTGTTCAGTCTGAAAAGGGTCTGGCCTGTACCTGTTAGAAGAGAACAGTAGATAGTGTAAGAGGACAAAAAACTATACAGTACGTCATCACCAGGTAGCCTCCAGGTTTTAGAGAAACAAAGCACCACTCTTTCAGTTTAACTTTCCTTGTTCACTGGTTTAAAGTCAAGGGCATGATAGAAAAGAATAAATAAAGTATGTTGAGAGTGTGAGGTACAGTGAGGAAGGTCTATTTTCCACGAATAATGAGTTGGAGTATAAAAAAGTAGAGCAGAGCACTGAGAGAGTACTTTTAGGGGCAAAAGCTTGTAATGTCAGCCCTGCTGAGATCCTTTCAGTTGTGAGTTATGTAATGTTTGCCCTTTTCAGTTGAATGGCACTGTGAGACAGGCATTATATCATTTGACAGTATACTTTTATTCATCTAAATGAAGAAAAAGAGGAATTTGATAAGAAATGTTTGCCATTCTGCAGAGGACAGCCAGAGCAAAAAATATGGTGTATTACAAATAAAAATACAGGTCAAAACAAAAATAGAAAGTTAGCATTACACTATAATTTAAGTCTTCTTTTTTTCTTTTTCTGTTTTTTTTTTTTTTTACAGCTTTATGGTTTGCTCAAGGACAAGCTTTAAGATTCACTCATCTTTTCCAGCTGTGTGGTCAAAGTACCTGTAGTTATACACGGCCTGTATGAGGGAAGCAATGGGATGGAGCATGTCAGTACTTCTTCCTTAGCTGAACTATAACAAAATAAATACTGAGAGGGCCATTGACCTTGATAACTGTTAATCTATTTTATAAAAAGCTTCAGCCTTTTGGCAACCGCTAAAAAAGAGTTCTGTTTGCCATGTGGGGTTTCAAAGTCATTTGCTGGATCAAAAACATTCACAAAAATATCAGCAGCTGACAGAGGAGGGGTCAACAACCTGGTGAAGAGCAACTGCTGTCTGTCTACAATGGCCTCTTTTCATACAATAGACGACTTGGTAAACAAATATCAGTTACTTTTGTACCACCATTATAAGTTGGGTGCACGCAGTGAAATATCTCATGTCTATCAAATGTCCCACTTTGACAGCACAAGCTCACAATTCTTTTGCCATGTGCTGAGAAGATTTTGGGCTGCAAGTGTATGCTCCTGCCTAGTCTGTTTGTACCAATTCACCTGAAACTACTGTGCCAGAACCACACTAATGCACTGACATGATTTGTCTTCTGCAAAAGTTTCCATGATTATGGTGCGGTATGGCATTTGTTGTAGTACTTTTATGAACAGCTATAGTGTGTAATAAGTTTTATGAGATCTTTTTTGCTCTTGCTTGAAATTCCAGGTCTACTGACAGTAGCTCATTCTTGCCCTGAAATATATACAAGTTTTGATCATCTCTGGCATGTTCCAGGGCTCTCGTCCATCCAGAGGACTTCAGGCTACCGTGTCATAATTCTACAGAACCAACAGACAGACAGGACAGGTTCCACCATTCACTAGCTACAGACTCTAAATCTGACAGGGTTGAGTACAGGCATGGCACTAAGGTTATGGAATGGACACCAGCTATCACGGATGTTTCATTTAATTGCACCCAAAATAGCTCCAGAAGACTTAATAGTGTTTTCTGTCGTGCCACAATAACCGTCCTCTTTACTTGCTCTCGACACCAAATGCAACTGATACCTGCACAACCCTCTACCTAGGCTAAAAGCTAGCACAGTATCTTAGCATTAGTCATTTTATTTTTAAATATTCATTCATTCATTTTTCATAACAACATTACTTAGCTGATGGAGCAGCTGTCATTTCTACCCACTCAGCAGTTCAGCAACCAAATTACATCAGCAATGGCAGGCCATGGGAATGTCTAAGTCTGCTAATTGAGATAATCAGAATCACAAATCAAATCACACCAGCCAGGAAACTGTTTAGGTGAAAATTTTTTGCATTACATAGTGTAACAGAATATATACGCCTGTCCTTAGCACAGTGGATCAGCAGGCAGCACTTAGGTTTTGCTCTTCAATGTGGCTTCATAGCCTATGTTGCTCACTATGACGAGCAAATGGAGCATGAAGAGAAACCAGTGATGTACAGCATAAGGTTTCCCCTCTCTTCCATTGTCACAGAACAATGCTGTGCCCTAAGATGTTCGCTGGGTGTACTAACTGCATCAAATCTCTTTTTCTCCTTCAAGTCTTCTTAACCACTCTGCCCTGAAGGCTGATCTCTTGCAATCATTTTAGCGATAAAACTAGGGAATAGATAGACAAGTGAAGCAGGTTATTGGGGAAAGAGTGGGCAAAAAGAGATTAGAGGAGGAAGATAATTGTGCAAAGCTTCTCCCTGAACGACCCTCACAGTCAGTAACTGCTTGTAAGAGAAGCTCCAATCCTCCGCGGTAGAAGAGGGGCATCTGGCCGGGCCTTGACAGCTTCTCAAGAAGCTGAGGCACCGTTCTGGCCTTCACCTCTCCCTTGTCAAACTCCTCCCTCGCATTCATCTCCTGATTCTCTCTCTCCGCTTCCAAACCTACCTGGATCAGGTATTCTGCATGAAGAAAACAAAGAAGATAAAAGAAGAAAAAGCAAACCAATCTGACAGAAAGTTATTCCAAAACAGTAACTATAGCTGCACTGTAATGTGGGGCATATTTGGCAGAACATTTGCTGCAATGTACTGTATAAATGTTTCATGGAATAATAATGAAACTGAATCTCATGGAACATTGTGACATGATACATGGCCAATGAGGATAGTTCTCACAAAAACATCAAAGTTTTCCTGATCTAATCCCTGAAAAACCTTTTTTTTCTTTACCTTTTACCATCTTCTCCCTTCCAGGTTCAATTTCCACTATCTTTTCAAAGCAGTGTCTGGACTGAAAAAGAGAAAAAAAAAAAATGTTTTGTTAATGGTTACACGATGTGCTTCAGTGGTCTCTTCTAGACCCATGGAACTTAATATTATCTTCACCACACCAAAAGCCTTCGGTATCTCAGCACAACAATGTGGTATATAGAAAACTATGATGCACTTTGCAACAATTTTATTAAATGAAGATTTTTACCAGATAAAACGAATATTATATTATATGCTCTTAACATGCTCATACTTATTAACTTTGTTGTCTATTTAAGCCATACAACTTACATAATGTAGCCATGTCTCTGCTATACTTAGATAATTCGCCAAGTGTAATTATCTATACACATGAGTGATGAGTGAAAAAAAACTAGTGATTAAATGTTAGGAGATAATTATACTTGCCTCATTATATTTCTTCAGTTCCATAAATGCTTTGCCCATGTGTACATAAGCCTTTATGCACCTCTCATTACACTGATAGAGAGAAAATGATTATGTATGTGTATTAGTTAAAGCGCTTTTGCAGCACATCTACATATAATGGTCATTTAATGCTTCTGCATTGATAACACTTGCATAGTAAGAAGGAAATATTCAATCTGAATGTCACAGACGTACTACACTATAGAGGGTATAGAGCACATGTATCATCCAAAACTAGCCTAGGACTTGCATTGTAAACCTGCATTTAGCTTGAGAATCCTAAAGACAATATATCTCCAAAAAAAATTAAATTAGGAGGAACTCATAAACACTGTTATTTTTATGCACTTAAATGTTCTCTTCACAACACAATGTTCACAATCTTCTCTTCAGAGAATATTTTTGCACTGCTGATGGCCTGTATCCTGCACATATTACTGTTTGTTTGAGTGCAGTACAGAAAAAAGCATAGCCCACTGTTATCCATGCTCCCATGTTCATATAGAACAGTGCCTCAGATGACACTATGAGATGACAAATGAGACAGCGACTGACTGACCCAAGTCATCAGCCAGGTCTTACCTTCAGGGCCCATTCACAGTCACTGATGGCTTCTTTGTACTTTCCCAGCTTGATGTAGGCCTAAATAGATTTAAACATTAGACAGTAACTGGGCATCAAACACTGACAAAAATAAAATAAATCTGGCTTCACAAAGTAAATACTGTGATTTAGTAGTGTAGCATTGTTTAATATACCACAGAGCAGACTTTCAAGATGCTGGGTCTTTGGAAGGGAACATATTGACCGTACAATTAACTTAACTACATGTGGGCATAATCATACTGAAATTAAAATCAATAGATGGCAGCCTGACCTCTGTGAAACTAAATGTTCCATAATTTTTTCACAGTGATACGCACACTTGCAAGAAGCTCCACTTTGATTTCTTCTGAGAATCAAATAATTATTTGTTACTTTTGCCTTAAATCTTATTGTGATCAACCCAATTGTACAACATTTAAAAGATGAACAACATAGGTTGAAGATATTCACTTGTGCTCGGTTGGTGTACAATGGCTGCATGTCCCGTAGTTCATCCAAGCCATCACTGTAATACTTCACAGCAGTTTCATAGTCGCCTTGAGCATACGCTTCATTCCCCTTGTCTTTGAGTGCTGCAGTGACATTACACAGTACCACAGTTAAAAGGGCATGTTGCTAACAGAGCCCAACAGAGCACAAATTTCAGCAAATTATTCACCTCCAACAACATCTTTAAGGAACAGAGAACTACTTACCAGTTGCCTTTTTCTCTTTAGCAATCCGCTTTATCCTCCTGTCTTCAGCATCTCTCTCCATAATCTTCATGAAACTCTCTGCTCAAAAAAAATGTCATTAGACAGTATTTCACATTGTGAAATATATTAATTTTAACTTCAAGTTCTCCATCATCAGAGCTTTGTCACACATTTTAAATAAGGGAAATCCAATCATCAATTACCAATCTCATAAAAATTAAAGTTACATATGCAGTTTCAAACTAGGTTTAAAGTCATTTGTGATTGTTTATGCAAAAATGTTCTGCCAAAGACAGATATTGCTCCAAGTCCAATGTAATAAATATCAGTTGGACGTAATCTAAACACTGTTTCACTGTCTTCTCAGCCTCAAGCAGAATTAATTTTCTTCCTGACTTTGTGAAGTAAATGTACAATGTGTTAACTTCAGTGTTTGTGGTTTCACACATGTAGGTGTGAAAGGTTCATGCATTTGTTATTGATGTTGTTACTGATGAGTTTCACTTCTGGAAGAATTGAAAAGAAGTGTTGATTTGAGGAAAAGTTATTTTACATGAAATACCACATTCATAGTACAGGGGCGAATATGATGTGTATTTAAGAAAGTAAAATACCACCTTTTAAAATCACCATAGTGACTTCTCAGTGTGTACAGTAAATGTACTGCACACTAACCTAGAGGTGGCTCCTACTTGCTTGGCTTCTGCCACATTGTCCAGTGTTTGAGGGCACAAGTATTTCTATGAGGTTGAACCTTAGTAAATACTACAAGTCTCCAACCCATTAAACATTGTAGCACTCCCTAGACAAACAAATCAACAAAAACATGTCAGTCATGTCCAGTGATTCATATCCTCTAATCCATAGCAGTGCACTCCTCACCATGACACGCTGGCAGTTTGATAAGGGAGTGAAGACTTCACTTCCCACTCTTATCAAACCTCTGTCAACAAAACTGACAAATATTGCACAAAATAAGAGGGTATCTGCACTGGTCTGAGCATGCAAGACAGCAGGTAGCGCAAAACATGGTCAGGTCACTTTAATGCCAAAGACACACCTTGAGCTGCATCTCTCTTTCTACTATAGTGCAGAGTGAGTCACCCACCTGACAAACAGGCACAGTTGATTTAAAAAAAAAAAGAAAAAAAAGAAAAAGAAAAACCTCAATGTCATGCCTGAGGTAAATTTCAATGCAGCAACATAAAAACACTAATCCTATGTAACACAGGAGTGGTAGACTACAAATAAACCTCTTTGCCCCTTATAAAATCTGTTTCAAGTTGTACTCAAAAGACTGACTCACGTAAGTCAGGACATGGTACTATATAGGCAAGGCTGTTGTTATTCACACCAGCTGCTGAGATCCCAAGTGAAAGGGGCTGCATCTTTTACAGCTGTGCTTGTTCAGGCAGTCCATAGTCTCAGAAAATATACAGAGCAGTAAAGCACATCAAAAACATTTAGCCACATCAAGTTCTTCACTATTTTCTTTATCTTTATCTTTGAAGAAAATGAATATATACATTTTGTTAGTTTTTTTGTTCAGTTAATAAGAACCTTTTCTTACCATAGGCACTGAGGACAAAAAAATCTGCTTAAACATTGTTTCAATTCATTGCAAGGGACAACCACAGAGATATTTATTTTCATTGTTGCTCACCTGGACCTTCGTTCTGCGGACTCTGTAAAATGGGAAAAAAATGTTTAGAAGAATGTTAAGAAAAAGTGCCTTAGTTTTCACTACTTACTGTATCTCTGTGTCCTTCTTACAGGACAAGAAGGGACAAAGTAGACAACATAACAAGAAGTTGTTGGTTGTTTATATGTGTTTGAGGGACAGAAACAGCAAGAGAGAGAGAGAGGTACAGACAGTGAGAAAGACTAAGACAGACAGAGAGCGAGAGCAGGCGTGCAACTGTGCGTGAATGACTTTGTGTGCATGTCTTTACAAAGGAAGGCTTGAGTGGTGGCTTTGTGTTGATTGTAGTCTTGTTGACTTTTGTCCTATAAGGTTCATTCAAGGCAGCAATGTGGGAATCAGCTTCTTCTATTGCTTTTTGCTGGACTGTGACATCATAAGACTTGAGATTCTTCACAAGCTCACCTGAAAAGAAGATTGGTGATTTATTTTACTACTTTAATTCAAGTTCAGCAACTATAATAATCACATATGTTGCAAAATGTTCATCTTACCTATACATTTTGTGTATCAATTTTGTTTATTGTTCATTGACCTGATTAAAGTTTCAAGTAGGGTTTCAACTAACGACTTTTATTATAGATTAATTGCTCAGTTGTTTAGAGGACTATATATGCTCTTCATAATTTACTACATTCCAAAATTATTTCTTTAAATGTCTTGCTCTGACTGACCGATAGTCCAAAACCCAAAGATATTTAGTTTATTATCATGTATGAATATAAAATCTTCACATTTAAGAAGCTGGAACCTGCAAATGTGAAAAATGATTTAAGTGATTAATCGACCATTAAAATAGTTGCTGTTTAATTTTCTATAGTTCGACGAATGATTGCAGCTCTCCATGCATATTTTGCATATATTGTGACCTGCTGTATTTGCATATAGCTTATACTGTATGTCACAATATACAAACTACCTGGTAACCAAATAACGTTATTAATTTCCAACAACTTAATGAAAGTGGACATTACACTATACAACAAAACAGCTCGTCCCCAATTGTATGGTTTTTACAATGTATATATTGACCATTAGCTTCAGGGAAAAAAACATCAATAACTTAAATGAGCTGGCAAATGTTTTTAACAGCCATATGGTGAAACAATACCTGACTGTCCCAATGATAAAGTTAAAAATGTCATGAACGTTAACTTATGTGGTATCCTATTTAAACACGGACGATCCTTCATCTGCTCGTTTAACCAACGCTAGCTAACTAATAAGCTTCACGGCTGTATTACTTACTTATTTTGTCAACATTCTTTAAAAAACTCTCGAAGTCTTCAAGTCCCTCCATCGTGCTTTTGCCCTTTCAAAACTGCTTGTATTATTTAAGAAGCTAGGTAGCTCTGTTTTATGTTCGCTAAAGCTGAAGTTATCCTCATGAGTTTGGACGTTACCATAGTGCCGTGATGCCTTCAGGGCCGCTCGTAAGCACCTGCACTACAGCTGTGACAACATGTGACAGTACTCCGTAGAAGATAAACATAGAAGAATCGCTGAAGTTAGTGGCGTTGTTTTTACAAATACTCCGGGTTCGCTAAAACCAACGAACGAAGCTATTATTTGAATCAAAAGCTTGCCATAAGAAATACAGTGGGGTCAAAAAGGCTATAATAATGTGGTCTCAGACTTTCGGACCTCTACTGTACTATCACCTGTATGCACCTCTCAATGTTATTTCTAAATGCCGATTACTATCCGTTTCCTACCTAATATCGTATTGCTATCAGATATTCATTATTTTTCACTTATTTATCACGTTGTCATTAGTGTGTTGTGCCCCTGAATTATAAAGCTTTGTTTCTGTGTCTACATAATTGTGATCTTCATGAAAGCACTTTTGGTGTGCTCACCTCGGATTTGGGTGGTCATATTTTTTGTCTCAATCCAAAACAGCACAACTGTCTTTTTTTTTTCAGGAATCAATATAAACAATTTTATGGCTACCATTACAATGTTTTTTTTTTCTTCGTTATACTGCAACGTACTTCAGGGACCTCCTATTCCTCCACATGTAATCTGGACAGCCCTACTGTGCTACGAGTTCGGGACAGAGGCCAAAGGTCATGTATTGTAGATCTCCTCAGCACTTCAATGAACCTGCTTTCAGTGTGCCTCTTCATATTCCATTGAACTCCGGTCTTACTGTATTTCTGAACGATAGGTCAACACTGCCTCCCTGTGGTTTAAGACATATAAAGAGACAGCTATGCCAACACAAAAATCTGCTTTTTCTTATTATATAATAGATGAACATTCAATGTTGCCATAACTTTTGGAAGAAGTAAGAGGTGACTTATCAACATAAAAAATGAAATGTAAATGTATACAGTGGGTGAACTAAGACTTAAATATCGCCATTTTCTATGAGGTTGAACCTTAGTAGATACTACAAGTTTCCAACCCATTAGGCATTGTAGCACTCCCTAGACAAACGAATCAACAAAAACATGTCAGTCATGTCCAGTGATTCATATTTATTTAAGCCAATACAACTTACATAATGTAGCCATGTCTCTGCTTATACTTAGATAAGTCCGCCAAGTGTAATTACTATAACATGAGTGATGAGTGAAAAAAAACTAGTGGATTAATGTTAGGAGATAATTATACTTGCCTCATTATATTTCTTCAGTTTCCATAAATGCTTTGCCCTATGTGTAACATAAGTCCTTTTGCACCCTCTCATTCCACTGAATAGAGAGAAAATGATTATGTATGTGTATTAGTTTAAGCGCTTGTGTGGCAGCACATTCTACATATAATGGTCATTTAATGCCTTCTGCATTGATAACACTTGCATAGTAAGAAGGAATATTTCAAGTCTCGAATGTCACAGACGTACTCACTATAGAGGGTATAGAGCAACATGTATCATTCCAAAACTTAGCCCTAGGACTTGCACTTTGTAAAACCTGCATTTAGCTTTGAAGAAATCCTAAAAGCAATAATATCTCCAAAAACAATTAAATTAGGAGGAACTCATAAACATGTTATTTTTATGCACTTAAATGTTCTCTTCCAACAACACAAATGTTTCACAATCTTCTCTTCAGAGAATATTTTTTTGCAAGATGGCTGATGGCCTGTATCCTGGGCACCATATTACTGTTTGTTGAGTGCAGTACAGAAAAAGCATAGCCCACTGTTATCATGCTCCCATGTTTATCTAGAACAGTGCCTCAGATGACACTATGAGATGACAAATGAGGAACAGCGACTGACTGACCCAAGTCAATCAGCCAGGTCCTTACCTCAGGGCCCATTCACAGTCACTTGAATGGCTTCTTTGTACTTCCCAGCTTGATGTAGGCCTAAATAGATTTAAACAATTAGAACGTACACTGGGTCATCAAACACGGATAAAATAAAATCAATCTGGCCTTCAACAAAGTAAATTACTGTGATTTTAGTAGTGTAGCATTTGTTTAATATACCAACAGAGCAGACTTTCAAGATGGCTGGGTTCTTTGGAAGGGAACATATTGACGCGGTACAATTAACTTTAACTACATGTGGGCAATAATCATAACTGAATATTAAAAATCAATAGATGGCCAGCCCTGACTCCTGTGAAACTAAATGTTCTATAATTTTTTCAACAGTGATACGCACACTTGCAAGAAGCTCCACTTGATTTCTTCTTGAGAATCAAATAATATTTGTTTTACTTTTTGCCTTTAAAATCTTATTGTGGATCAACCCAATTGGTACAACATTTAAAAGATGAACAACATAGGTTGAAGATATTCACGTTGTGCCTCGGTTTGGTGTAACAATGGCTTGCATGTCCCGTAGTTCATCCAAGCCATCAACTTGTAATACTTCACAGCAGTTTCATAGTCGCCTTGAGCATACGCCTTCATTCCCCTTGTCTTTGAGTGCTGCTAAGTGACAATACACAGTAACCGACAGTTAAAAGGGCATGTTGCTAACAGAAGCCCAACAGAGCACCAAAATTTCAGCAAATTATTCCACTCTCCAAACAACATCCTTTAAGGAACAGAGAACTACTTACACAAGTTTGCCTTTTTCTCTTTGCATCCGCTTTAATCCCCTGGTCTTCAGCATTCTTCTCTCCATAATCTTCAATGAAACTCCTCTGCTCAAAAAAAATGTCATTAGACAGTAATTTACATATGTGAAAATATATTTAATTTTAACTTCAAGTTCTCCGCAATCACAGAGCTTTGTCACACATTTTAAATAAGGGAAAATCCAATCATCAATTACCAATCTCAATAAAAATTAAAAGTTACATATGCAGTTTCAAACTAGGTTTAAAGTCCATTTTGTGATTGTTTATGGCAAAAATGTTCTGGCCCAAAGACAGATATTGCCTCCAAGTCAATGTAATAAATATCAGTTGGACGTAATCTAAACACTGTTTCACTGGTCTCTCAGCCTCCAAGCAGAATTAAATTTTCTTCTGACTTTGGTGAAGTAAATGTAACAATGTGTTAACTTCAGTGTTTTGTGGTTTCACACATGTAAGGTGTGAAGGTTCATGCATTGTTATTGATGTTGTAACTGATGAAGTTTCCCACTTCCTGGAAGAATTGAAAAGAATGTTGATTTTGAGGAAAGTTATTTTTACATGAAATACCAAAATTCATAGTACATGGGGCGAAATATTGATGGTATTTAAGAAAGTAAAATACGCACCTTTTAAAATCAACCATAGTGACTTTCTCAGTGTGTAAGTAAATGTACTGCACCTAAACCTAGAGGTTGGCTCCTACTTGCTTTGGCTTCTGCCACATTTGTCCCAGTGTTTGAGGGCAACAAGTATTTCTATGAGGTTGAACCTTAGTAAATACTACAAGTCTCCAACCCATTAAACATTGTAGCAGTCCCTAGACAAACAAATCATACAAAAACATGTCCAGTCATGTCCAGTGATTCATATCCTCATAATCCATAGCAGTGCACTCCTGCACCATGACAAATGAGCATGTGTTTGATAAGGGAGTGAAGAACTTCACTTCCCACTCTTATCAAACCTCTGTCAACAAAACTGACAAATATGCAACAAAATAAGGAGGGTATCTGCACTGGTCTGAGCATGCAAGAACAGCAGGTAGCGCAAAACATGGTCAGGTCACTTTAAAATGCCAAAACACACCTTTGAGTGCATCTCTCTTTCTACTATAGTGCAGAGTGGAGTCACCCACCTGACAAACAGGCACAGTTGATTTTAAAAAAAAAAAAAAAAAAAAAAAAGAAAAAACCTCAATGTCATGCTGAGGTAAATTTCAATGCAGGCAACACAAAAAACACTAATGCCTATGTAACACAGGAGTGGGTAGACTACAAATAAACCTCTTTTGCCCTTATAAAAATCTGTTTCAAAGTTGTACTCAAAGACTGACGTCACGTAAGTCAAGGACATGGTACTATTATAGGCAAGGCCCTGTTGTTATTTCCACCAGCTGCTGAGATCCCCACAGTGAAAGGGGCTGCATCTTTTACAGCTGTGCCTTTGTTCAGTGCAGTCCATAGTCTCAGAAAATATACAGAGCAGTAAAGCACATCAAAAACATTTAGCCACATCAAGTTCTTCACTAATTTTCTTTAATCTTTATCTTTGAAGAAAATGAATATATAACATTTTTGTTAGTTTTTTTGTTCAGTGTGGATGAGGTGGAACGGTTCTTCCTGACCGGATAGGCGAGCGTGAGACGAGGATATCTGCGTGGTGAGAGAGCGAGTGTGTGTTAATTTCATGCAATGGGACATATCACAGAGAGGAGTTTATGTTGCATTGTTGCCTGCGAGCAGCGGTTCGTGTCTGGCGGACTCGTAAAATGAGAGGAAAAGTGTTTAGAGAATGTTGGGGAGGGGGAAGGGGGGGGAGCAAGCTTTAAGATTCACTCATCTTTTCCAGCTGTGTGGTCAAAGTACCTGTAGTTATACACGGCCTGTATGAGGGAAGCAATGGGATGGAGCATGTCAGTACTTCTGCCTTAGCTGAACTATAACAAAATAAATACTGAGAGGGCCATTGACCTTGATAACTGTTAATCTATTTTATAAAAAGCTTCAGCCTTTTGGCAACCGCTAAAAAAGAGTTCTGTTTGCCATGTGGGGTTTCAAAGTCATTTGCTGGATCAAAAACATTCACAAAAATATCAGCAGCTGACAGAGGAGGGGTCAACAACCTGGTGAAGAGCAACTGCTGTCTGTCTACAATGGCCTCTTTTCATACAATAGACGACTTGGTAAACAAATATCAGTTACTTTTGTACCACCATTATAAGTTGGGTGCACGCAGTGAAATATCTCATGTCTATCAAATGTCCCACTTTGACAGCACAAGCTCACAATTCTTTTGCCATGTGCTGAGAAGATTTTGGGCTGCAAGTGTATGCTCCTGCCTAGTCTGTTTGTACCAATTCACCTGAAACTACTGTGCCAGAACCACACTAATGCACTGACATGATTTGTCTTCTGCAAAAGTTTCCATGATTATGGTGCGGTATGGCATTTGTTGTAGTACTTTTATGAACAGCTATAGTGTGTAATAAGTTTTATGAGATCTTTTTTGCTCTTGCTTGAAATTCCAGGTCTACTGACAGTAGCTCATTCTTGCCCTGAAATATATACAAGTTTTGATCATCTCTGGCATGTTCCAGGGCTCTCGTCCATCCAGAGGACTTCAGGCTACCGTGTCATAATTCTACAGAACCAACAGACAGACAGGACAGGTTCCACCATTCACTAGCTACAGACTCTAAATCTGACAGGGTTGAGTACAGGCATGGCACTAAGGTTATGGAATGGACACCAGCTATCACGGATGTTTCATTTAATTGCACCCAAAATAGCTCCAGAAGACTTAATAGTGTTTTCTGTCGTGCCACAATAACCGTCCTCTTTACTTGCTCTCGACACCAAATGCAACTGATACCTGCACAACCCTCTACCTAGGCTAAAAGCTAGCACAGTATCTTAGCATTAGTCATTTTATTTTTAAATATTCATTCATTCATTTTTCATAACAACATTACTTAGCTGATGGAGCAGCTGTCATTTCTACCCACTCAGCAGTTCAGCAACCAAATTACATCAGCAATGGCAGGCCATGGGAATGTCTAAGTCTGCTAATTGAGATAATCAGAATCACAAATCAAATCACACCAGCCAGGAAACTGTTTAGGTGAAAATTTTTTGCATTACATAGTGTAACAGAATATATACGCCTGTCCTTAGCACAGTGGATCAGCAGGCAGCACTTAGGTTTTGCTCTTCAATGTGGCTTCATAGCCTATGTTGCTCACTATGACGAGCAAATGGAGCATGAAGAGAAACCAGTGATGTACAGCATAAGGTTTCCCCTCTCTTCCATTGTCACAGAACAATGCTGTGCCCTAAGATGTTCACTGGGTGTACTAACTGCATCAAATCTCTTTTTCTCCTTCAAGTCTTCTTAACCACTCTGCCCTGAAGGCTGATCTCTTGCAATCATTTTAGCGATAAAACTAGGGAATAGATAGACAAGTGAAGCAGGTTATTGGGGAAAGAGTGGGCAAAAAGAGATTAGAGGAGGAAGATAATTGTGCAAAGCTTCTCCCTGAACGACCCTCACAGTCAGTAACTGCTTGTAAGAGAAGCTCCAATCCTCCGCGGTAGAAGAGGGGCATCTGGCCGGGCCTTGACAGCTTCTCAAGAAGCTGAGGCACCGTTCTGGCCTTCACCTCTCCCTTGTCAAACTCCTCCCTCGCATTCATCTCCTGATTCTCTCTCTCCGCTTCCAAACCTACCTGGATCAGGTATTCTGCATGAAGAAAACAAAGAAGATAAAAGAAGAAAAAGCAAACCAATCTGACAGAAAGTTATTCCAAAACAGTAACTATAGCTGCACTGTAATGTGGGGCATATTTGGCAGAACATTTGCTGCAATGTACTGTATAAATGTTTCATGGAATAATAATGAAACTGAATCTCATGGAACATTGTGACATGATACATGGCCAATGAGGATAGTTCTCACAAAAACATCAAAGTTTTCCTGATCTAATCCCTGAAAAACCTTTTTTTTCTTTACCTTTTACCATCTTCTCCCTTCCAGGTTCAATTTCCACTATCTTTTCAAAGCAGTGTCTGGACTGAAAAAGAGAAAAAAAAAAAATGTTTTGTTAATGGTTACACGATGTGCTTCAGTGGTCTCTTCTAGACCCATGGAACTTAATATTATCTTCACCACACCAAAAGCCTTCGGTATCTCAGCACAACAATGTGGTATATAGAAAACTATGATGCACTTTGCAACAATTTTATTAAATGAAGATTTTTACCAGATAAAACGAATATTATATTATATGCTCTTAACATGCTCATACTTATTAACTTTGTTGTCTATTTAAGCCATACAACTTACATAATGTAGCCATGTCTCTGCTATACTTAGATAAGTCGCCAAGTGTAATTATCTATACACATGAGTGATGAGTGAAAAAAAACTAGTGATTAAATGTTAGGAGATAATTATACTTGCCTCATTATATTTCTTCAGTTCCATAAATGCTTTGCCCATGTGTACATAAGCCTTTATGCACCTCTCATTACACTGATAGAGAGAAAATGATTATGTATGTGTATTAGTTAAAGCGCTTTTGCAGCACATCTACATATAATGGTCATTTAATGCTTCTGCATTGATAACACTTGCATAGTAAGAAGGAAATATTCAATCTGAATGTCACAGACGTACTACACTATAGAGGGTATAGAGCACATGTATCATCCAAAACTAGCCTAGGACTTGCATTGTAAACCTGCATTTAGCTTGAGAATCCTAAAGACAATATATCTCCAAAAAAAATTAAATTAGGAGGAACTCATAAACACTGTTATTTTTATGCACTTAAATGTTCTCTTCACAACACAATGTTCACAATCTTCTCTTCAGAGAATATTTTTGCACTGCTGATGGCCTGTATCCTGCACATATTACTGTTTGTTTGAGTGCAGTACAGAAAAAAGCATAGCCCACTGTTATCCATGCTCCCATGTTCATATAGAACAGTGCCTCAGATGACACTATGAGATGACAAATGAGACAGCGACTGACTGACCCAAGTCATCAGCCAGGTCTTACCTTCAGGGCCCATTCACAGTCACTGATGGCTTCTTTGTACTTTCCCAGCTTGATGTAGGCCTAAATAGATTTAAACATTAGACAGTAACTGGGCATCAAACACGGACAAAAATAAAATAAATCTGGCTTCACAAAGTAAATACTGTGATTTAGTAGTGTAGCATTGTTTAATATACCACAGAGCAGACTTTCAAGATGCTGGGTCTTTGGAAGGGAACATATTGACCGTACAATTAACTTAACTACATGTGGGCATAATCATACTGAAATTAAAATCAATAGATGGCAGCCTGACCTCTGTGAAACTAAATGTTCCATAATTTTTTCACAGTGATACGCACACTTGCAAGAAGCTCCACTTTGATTTCTTCTGAGAATCAAATAATTATTTGTTACTTTTGCCTTAAATCTTATTGTGATCAACCCAATTGTACAACATTTAAAAGATGAACAACATAGGTTGAAGATATTCACTTGTGCTCGGTTGGTGTACAATGGCTGCATGTCCCGTAGTTCATCCAAGCCATCACTGTAATACTTCACAGCAGTTTCATAGTCGCCTTGAGCATACGCTTCATTCCCCTTGTCTTTGAGTGCTGCAGTGACATACACAGTACCACAGTTAAAAGGGCATGTTGCTAACAGAGCCCAACAGAGCACAAATTTCAGCAAATTATTCACCTCCAACAACATCTTTAAGGAACAGAGAACTACTTACCAGTTGCCTTTTTCTCTTTAGCAATCCGCTTTATCCTCCTGTCTTCAGCATCTCTCTCCATAATCTTCATGAAACTCTCTGCTCAAAAAAAATGTCATTAGACAGTATTTCACATTGTGAAATATATTAATTTTAACTTCAAGTTCTCCATCATCAGAGCTTTGTCACACATTTTAAATAAGGGAAATCCAATCATCAATTACCAATCTCATAAAAATTAAAGTTACATATGCAGTTTCAAACTAGGTTTAAAGTCATTTGTGATTGTTTATGCAAAAATGTTCTGCCAAAGACAGATATTGCTCCAAGTCCAATGTAATAAATATCAGTTGGACGTAATCTAAACACTGTTTCACTGTCTTCTCAGCCTCAAGCAGAATTAATTTTCTTCCTGACTTTGTGAAGTAAATGTACAATGTGTTAACTTCAGTGTTTGTGGTTTCACACATGTAGGTGTGAAAGGTTCATGCATTTGTTATTGATGTTGTTACTGATGAGTTTCACTTCTGGAAGAATTGAAAAGAAGTGTTGATTTGAGGAAAAGTTATTTTACATGAAATACCACATTCATAGTACAGGGGCGAATATGATGTGTATTTAAGAAAGTAAAATACCACCTTTTAAAATCACCATAGTGACTTCTCAGTGTGTACAGTAAATGTACTGCACACTAACCTAGAGGTGGCTCCTACTTGCTTGGCTTCTGCCACATTGTCCAGTGTTTGAGGGCACAAGTATTTCTATGAGGTTGAACCTTAGTAAATACTACAAGTCTCCAACCCATTAAACATTGTAGCACTCCCTAGACAAACAAATCAACAAAAACATGTCAGTCATGTCCAGTGATTCATATCCTCTAATCCATAGCAGTGCACTCCTCACCATGACACGCTGGCAGTTTGATAAGGGAGTGAAGACTTCACTTCCCACTCTTATCAAACCTCTGTCAACAAAACTGACAAATATTGCACAAAATAAGAGGGTATCTGCACTGGTCTGAGCATGCAAGACAGCAGGTAGCGCAAAACATGGTCAGGTCACTTTAATGCCAAAGACACACCTTGAGCTGCATCTCTCTTTCTACTATAGTGCAGAGTGAGTCACCCACCTGACAAACAGGCACAGTTGATTTAAAAAAAAAAAGAAAAAAAAGAAAAAGAAAAACCTCAATGTCATGCCTGAGGTAAATTTCAATGCAGCAACATAAAAACACTAATCCTATGTAACACAGGAGTGGTAGACTACAAATAAACCTCTTTGCCCCTTATAAAATCTGTTTCAAGTTGTACTCAAAAGACTGACTCACGTAAGTCAGGACATGGTACTATATAGGCAAGGCTGTTGTTATTCACACCAGCTGCTGAGATCCCAAGTGAAAGGGGCTGCATCTTTTACAGCTGTGCCTTTGTTCAGTGCAGTCCATAGTCTCAGAAAATATACAGAGCAGTAAAGCACATCAAAAACATTTAGCCACATCAAGTTCTTCACTAATTTTCTTTAATCTTTATCTTTGAAGAAAATGAATATATAACATTTTTGTTAGTTTTTTTGTTCAGTGTGGATGAGGTGGAACGGTTCTTCCTGACCGGATAGGCGAGCGTGAGACGAGGATATCTGCGTGGTGAGAGAGCGAGTGTGTGTTAATTTCATGCAATGGGACATATCACAGAGAGGAGTTTATGTTGCATTGTTGCCTGCGAGCAGCGGTTCGTGTCTGGCGGACTCGTAAAATGAGAGGAAAAGTGTTTAGAGAATGTTGGGGAGGGGGAAGGGGGGGGAGAAAGTGCCTATAGTCTTTCAACTACTTAGCTGTATCTCTGTGTCCTTCCTTACAGGACAAGAGGGACAAAGTAGACAACATAACAAGAAGTTGTTTGTTGTTTATATTGTGTTTGAGACAGAAACAGCAAGAGAGAGAGAGAGGTACAGACAGTGAGAAAGACTAAGACAGACAGAGAGCGAGAGCAAGGCGTGCAACTGTGCGTGAATGACTTTGTGTGCATGTCTTTACAAAGGAAAGGCTTTTGAGTGGTGGCTTTGTGTTGATTGTAGCTTGTTGACTTTTGTCCTATAAGGTTCATTCAAGGCAGCAATGTGGGAATCAAAGCTTCTTCTATTGCTTTTTGCTGGACTGTGACATCATAAGACTTGAGATTATTCACAAGCTCGAACCTGAAAAAGAAGATTGGTGATTTTATTTTACTACTTTAATTCAAGTTCACAACTATAATAATTCACATATGTTGCAAAATGTTCATCTTACCCTATACATTTTGTGTATAATTTTGTTTATTGTTTCATTGTGAACCTGATTAAAGTTTCAAGTAGGTTTTCAACTAAAACGACTTTTATTATAGATTAAATTGCTCAGTTGTTTAGAGGACTATATAATGCTCTTCATAATTTTACTACAATTCCAAAAATTATTTCTTAAATGTCTTGGCTCTGACTGAACCGATAGTCCAAAACCAAAGATATTTAGTTATTATCATGTATGAATATAAATCTTGCACATTTAAAGAGCTGGAACCTGCAAATGTGAAAAAATTTTGATTTAAAGTGATTAATCGAACCATTAAAATAGTTGCTTTTTTACATTTTCTATAGTTTCGGACGAAATATTGCAGCTCTCCAGCATATTTTGCATATATTGTTGAACCTGCTGTATTTGCATTAGCTTATACTGTATGTGTCACAATAATACAAACTACCTGGTAACCAAATAACGTTATTAATTTCCAACAACTTAATGAAATGACATTAACACATTCACAAAACAGCTTTCGTCCCAATTGTATGGTTTTACAAATTAATATTTGACCAATTAGCTTCAGGGAAAAAACAATCAATACTTAAATGAGCTGGCAAATTTTTTAAACAGCCATATGGTGAATCAAATACCCTGGACTGTCAATGAATAAGTTAAAAATGTCATGAACGTTACTTATGTGGTATCCTATTTAAACACGGACGATCCTTTCAATCTGCTCGTTTAACCCAACGCTAGCTAACTAATAAGCTTCAGCGGCTGTATACTTACTTATTTTGTCAAACATTCTTAAAAAACTCTCGAAGTCTCAAGGTTCCCTCCATCGTTGCTTTGCCTTTCCCCAAAACTGCTTGTAATTATTTAGAAGCTAGGTAGCTCGTTTTAATGTTCGCTAAAGCTGAAGTTATCCTCATGAGTTTGGACGTTACCATAGTGCCGTGATGCCTTCAGGGCCGCCCTCGTAAGCACCTGCACTACAGCTGTGAACAACATGTGACAGTACCCGTAGAAGATAAACATAGAAGAATCCGCTGAAGTTAGTGGCGTTGTTTTTACAAATACTCCGGGTTCGCTAAAAACCACACGAAACGAAGCTATTATTTAATCAAAGCTTTGCCATAAAGAAATACAGTGGGGTCAAAAAGCTATAATAATGTGGTCTCAGACTTTCGGACCTCTACTGTACTAACCCTCACCTGTATGCACCTCTCAATGTTTATTTCTAAATGCCGATATACTATCCGTTTCCCCTACTTAATATCGATATTGCTATCAGATATTCATTATTTTTTCACGTTAATTTATCACGTTGTCATTAGTGTGTTGTGGCCCCTGAATTATAAAAGCTTTGTTTTGTGTTCTACATATTGTGATCTTCATGAAAGCACTTTTGGTGGTGCCTCCACCTCGGATTTGGGTGGTCATATTTTTGGTCCTCAATCAAAACAGCAACAACTGTCCTTTTTTTTTTTCAGGAATAATATAAACAATTTTATGGCGTACCATTAAACAGTTTTTTTTTCTTCGTTATACTGCCAACGTACTTCAGGAGACCTCCTATTCCTCCACCATGTAATCTGGACAGCGCCCTACTGTGCTACGAGTTCCGGGACAGAAGGCCAAAGGTATGTATTGTAGATCTCCTCAACAACTTCAATGAACCTGCTTTCAGTGTGCCTCTCAATATTCAATTGAACTCCGGTCTTACTGTATTATCCTGAACGATAGGACACGACTGCCTCCCCTGTGGTTTAAGACATATAGTAGACAGCTATGCCAACACAAATCTGCTTTTCTTATTATATAATAGAAATAACATATCATGTTGCCATAACTTTTGGAAGAAGTAAGAGGTGACTTATCAACATAAAAAAATGAAATGTAAATGTAATACAGTGGGTGAACTAAAGACTTAAAATATCGCCACATTTCCTATGAGGTTTGAACCTTAGTAGATATACAATTTCCAACCCATTAGGCCTTGTAGCACTCCCTAGACAAACGAATCAACAAAAACATGTCAGTCATGTCCAAGTGATTCATATCCTCTAATCCATAAGCAGTGCACTCCTCCCATGACCGCTGGCAGTTTGATAAGGAGTGAAGACTTTCACTTCCCACTCTTATCAAACCGTCTGTCAACAAACTGAACAAATATTGCACAAAAATAAGAGGGCATCTGCCACTGGTCTAAGCATGCAGACAGCAGATAGCGCAAAAACATGGTCAGGTCACTTTAATGCCAAGACACACCTTGAGCTGCATCTCTCTTTTACCCTACTATAAGTGGCAGAGTGAGTCACCCACCCTGACAAACAGGTCACAAGTTGATTTTAAAAAAAAAGAAAAAGAAAAACCTCAATGTCATGCCTGAGGTAAATTTCAATGCAGCAACATAAAAACACTAATCCTATGTAACACAGGAGTGGTAGACTACAAATAAACCTCTTTGCCCCTTATAAAATCTGTTTCAAGTTGTACTCAAAAGACTGACTCACGTAAGTCAGGACATGGTACTATATAGGCAAGGCTGTTGTTATTCACACCAGCTGCTGAGATCCCAAGTGAAAGGGGCTGCAATGTAAATGTATACAGTGGGTAAACTAAGACTTAAATATAGCCACAAAATGAATATAGGAAGAAGAAATCACTGGCTTTGATTGTTGGCTTATTCAGTTTAGCAATGCACCACATATACTGTATATGGATATTAAAGTCTTTACCTTCTTTTTTTTTTTTTAAATTCTGTCTGCTGCTAAAAGTCAGGGGCAGTAAGTTCCTACAGTAGCTGTTCTTCATGCTGCAC